CCAGTTGTAGGGGGAGGATGCCAGTAATCCCTGCATTCGTTGCAGCTTTAAAATTAGGCTTTGGTGCACATGTTATTTTGCAGCCCATTCTATTCAACAAACTGACTGGGATAATCTTTTGTCAAACTAGTTAATGAACTGATCACGATATGAAGTGGCTTAAAGGTATGTGACAGTGGAGCACACTTAAGCACGCCAATCATTGCTCTTTCTTTCTCAAATTTTTTTCCGCCACACACAACTCAAAAGAATCTACCCTACATCTAAAGAAACAAAAAAGTAAACATCGCAAGAATCGTATGCTGATTAACAAAACCATGCAACTCTGTTAGATTTACTAATCCACCATTCATTGCATTTAAATGCAATTACTTCTGATTAGCGAAGCAAGTTGGAGCACAGGGAAGGACCTACGTGGAATTTGTAGCCAGGTGCACCATCTATGCAGGAGAGTTCGTAGTGGGAAATAGTGAAGCAAAAGCACAATTAGCATAGAAGAGTAGGCGTGTGGATTAAGAAGAGCAGAGGTAGGGTTGAAAATGTTTAGTAGTTCCTAATAAGCTTTGTCTTCTTTACTTACAAAATATGCACTTTAGGCAAGATTGTGCAAGCACTTTTTCTATTTGGATTTGCTACTAATTAGTAGGCAACGGCGAGTGAGTCAAGAGTAGTGCTGTGCTTCAACATAAGAATAGGGCTTTATACTACTTACCCATTATTTTTATTTGTCATGGTATGCAACATGATTAATATAACCACTACAACTCAGTTATTGCAACTGTATTAGAAACCGTTTCAAACTTACACAAATTTTGTTTCCATTATCAAATGAAAATAGCGTTTAATTTGTCAAAACAATACCAGTGAAGTACAATGTTCGGAGAAGGGGCTTGGAGTTGTGCTTCCTCTTCTCTTCCGCCTCTTTAGGACACTTTCAATACGAATTTGCCACCAAGCTTTCTGGTAAGTTCTAATCCGCACTGGACTTTCTAAAAGAAACAAATTCGTCGTAGATGCAAAGTGGACAACTTCATTTAACCGGTAAGTCGGCATTTTTTAAAAAATTATGACAAAATTTCCGGTGCTGAGAATTTTATATGGAACAAGGTGCATTTTCAAACACCTTGCAATCATAAAAGGTAATCTAATGAATATTACTGTGGAAATGTAATATCCGGATCATTGGCTTACCTTTTCACTTTAACTTTGCTAGCGTTAAGGGTTCTGGACATTCCAACCCGGCTGCTGCCGAATTCAGGTACACGAGCCATTCCCAAAGGCGAAGGGATAAAATTTCAGACTTGAAAATGCATGTCCGACTTAGAGAGAGCCAAGGGGCTACTGGCATGGCTCAAAGGCCAGGTCGTCGGGTTTAATTATAAAAGCGGTGTTTTGATTTTTTACGCAACTAAAGCAAGGAATTTAAAAAACAATAAATTATTTTAAAGTCTTTTTAGGCTTATGTGCGAAGAGGTATCCAAGTGGACACAAGGTAAAATAATTGTGCTCCACAATATAATTGCTGAATCAGCCAATGCCACGGTTTGCATAATTGGGGCATTTCAAGGCACACAGCTGACTGATTGCGTAGTAGAATGATTAACTAACTGATTATGTAAG